GGTCAAATGTTGTAAAATCTTCAAGCGACTTCTTCTCAATAACCAAAAGGCTCAGGGTACTGATAAAATGGGCCTGTAGCATGCTGGGATGAAGGACTATCAAGTTTGTTCAACTGAATGAACTTGACCAACTTTCAAGGTCACAGGGTCAAATGTCGTAAAATCTTCAAGCGACTTCTTTTCAATAAGCAAAAGGGCCAGGGTACTGAAATTGGGCCTCTAGCATGCTGGGATGAAGGACTACCATGTTAGTTCAAATGAATGACCTTGATCCACTTTCAACCTAATGTCCTTGTTCAACAATCAAGGTCAGAGGCGTCATATGTTTAAATCTTTTAATAGGTTCTTATGAAATCTTAAGATTACAAGTGTTAGATTAATAACAGGTGAGCGATGCAGGCCCATTGGGCCTCTTGTTTAATCTTATGATGACTTCATATATATATATATCGTCAATTACTATCAAAATGTACCATTGTCTTCCATAGATATGTTTTCAATGTCGTTATTCTTATACAGTTTAGATATGAAAACATGTTTTTGTCTTTGCTATGTATATATTGGACATCTGTATAAATGAAAACTTAACCGGTTCTTGGGTGGTGGAGTAATTGAGTCATTTCACATTTATTGCTAATGATATCATAGTCATAATGAATAATATTCGAAATAAGATTCATCAGTTTGGTATGAATACAAAAGGCTAAGGTTTTTATTTTAACATAAACAGTATTTGAAAACTTATTTGCGAGCTTTCTTAAACGTCTGTTTCTTTTGCAAAGTCAATAGTGTAAATGGTCCTAAGGGGCGGAATGGGTAGTTTAATTATGTTACATGTATCCGTCCCTCTGACTGTCTGCAGTATTAGAGTGCTATCGGGCGAAATGTCTCTATGAGTTTTGACAGCTGACTATACTGATAGCGGTTTAGAATCGAGACACTGGTCATTAACACTCTTTGCTTAACGAGGCAAACAGACATTTTCGAAAGCTCGGAAATAAGTTTTCAATTCCTGCTTGTGTTTAAAACAAACTTTGTCATTATTGAAATGAGCAATGTTGAAGGCAATTACATAATCGTCCTGTATTATAACTTCAATCAGAAATAGGAGTATTGTGCTAAATTATCGGAGAATATATTTGTTGATAACCATAAAGTCAATTGTCGCCGCAAGTCCAGCACCATAGACTCGTACTTTGTAAACTGCATATAAATGCATATAACAATTTTTATGACATATTAAAAAATGAATGTATATATAGAAATATGATTTCATTCTTACTCTGCATTGTAAAAACAAAACAAAATGTTTAATACATACCAATTTATTACGGTTGTTTTGCCTTTTAGTTTGCTCTAAACATAGTCTATTTACTTTTCTAGTTTTTCGACATGAGACAACGCAGGTTACACCGTCACCTACTACGCTGAAAGGTATGTACATACATTTATGACGTCAACGTCACACATGCACACGCATTTTGTATTATGTTTTACATTACCGGCAGTCTTCAAAAACTAATGACTGTTAATTGAATCTCGTAATTGACATCGCACGCCTAATGATTTTGCAGTGACTATCCTTACGCCCGTCTTTCGCTTATACTGATGTAACCAGCATTGACGTCCGCATTATAAAGTACAATGTAATAGCACATGACGTCACCTTATAGAGCCGTCAAAGTGGCGACAACATGATATGATTTTAAGGTGGTTAATTACGTCAGTATTTTTCTACATTCATTGTAATGCAATACAAACTTTCCTTTATTATGAAAAGTTCGTTTGACACAACCAATAATTTGTTCTATGTGACGTTTCGATGACTTGTACGACATAAAGGTGTACAACTATTGGACATCCATGTGAGAATGCCTTTCATGTTTTCTTTGAGTGTCAACTTTTCAGCAATGAAAGGCGCATTTTGTTTCAAAATTTGAATGCCTTAGGTATAGTTTTAAATGTAGAGATTCTTTTGTTTGGTAATCCTGATCTTTTAGTAGACCTTAACTCTTACGTTTTTAGACATGTGCACACTTCATCAAATGCAGCAAAAGATTTTGAACGTGCTTTTTTTAAAGTTGTGTAATTGTACCTGTGTGAATATTATATATATATATACTTCATGTGTATGCCTCTATCATTGTTGACATGTAATTGTAAATGTATGACGGGAGAAGGCTGTGATAAATTGTAATAACTTGTGCCCAATCCCTTGTTCAATTTTATTGGCAATAAATATGTTTAAAGTATCAGTACATATCGTACAAGTCATCGAAACGTCACATAGAAAAAAATATTGGCCTTGTAAAAAGAACTTTTCATAATCTATACTTACCAACCTGAAGAAAATGTTTAGAAATAACTTTCCTTTATGTTTTACATTGATGAAACTTGTAAAGACGTTTTCTTAATTGACAACTCTGTGGATTCGTTTTATAAATCTGATATAACATAGAAATGCCATTGAAATAGTGCTTTTGTTTAAGCAATGAATGTTTAAGCAAATGTTGTTATGGTCCTTTAATACACATTGCTATTGCTGACAAACTTACATGAAGCCATGCCAGACTTTATTAAGTTTGTCATGAATAGCAATGTGTGTTATAGGACCATAACAATATTTGCTAAAATATTCATTATTTATATTTACATTTTGATAAAGTTGTTACGTTTTATTCAGTAAATTTGAACAGTTCTTTGAACAGCAAATTAAGTCTTGACAACAATAAAACTAAATTGCTGACGCCACAACAGAGATTGATGAGATTGATAGCAAATGTTGTTACAGTCTCACAACAACATATGCCTTCTCAGTGCATTGAAATGGAAGGATGCAGAGCAAATGTAAACATTACATTTTAATCGATAAAAGATTTACGTAATAAATTATAAGTTGATATATTATATTGTATATGACACCATCATGGAAACCTGACGTTATTACACAAGTTCCGGCGCATTTCCTCCATCACCTCCAGCGCAGTGGTACTTGTGGTGTAGTTGCGATACATTATACTAGGTTAATTATTTTCTCTTCTTTCCTTTAATTAGTGTACGCCACAGAGTTAAGGCTAACCGATCTATCATGGAGTTCCAGACTTGAAGACCCAACTAGCCCCGAGTTCGTAATCATGAAGGACAACGTACTGTCTGACGTAAGTACCGGTTAAATTGTAAGTTCCGGTTAAATTGTAAGTTCCGGTTAAATTGTAAGTTCTTATGAAATTGTATGTTCATGTTAAATTGTAAGTTGCTATAAAATATCACTGATAGAGTTACCGACAGACATCTAACAAGGGGTTTCTTACATTGTGACGAGAAACATGTAAACCAGTATGATTTCTAGACGTGAAAACATATATTTGCAAAGCATTGTTGACGTATTCCTTGTAGATTAAAAATACAAAGTTAGGCATTTAAGTTTGCTTAAAATGTAATGGTACTGTCAATATCCGTTTGAAATCAAAATATATTTTGACGTGTATTGTGTTCCAGATGGATAAAATAATGCGCCACAGTAGTCTACAGACTAAATACCAGAGCGCGGAGGTTCTTGGCTTCAGGTATGTCACTTTCAGTCAGAGAAAAAGTGCCCCAAAGTAGCCTACCGTCTGAATAACAAGGTATGGAGATTCATAGCTTCAGTTAAGTGCCGTCAGAAAAAAAATGCGCCATAATAGATTGCTGTCTAAATACCAAAGCGTGGTGGGTTTTTTGCTCCAGGTAAGTTCTGTCAGTCAGGAAAACTTAATAACCTGCTGTCTGAATGCCAAAGCGTTGATGCTGTTAGATTCAGGTAATACCTGTCTGTCAAAGAAAATAATGTGCCATAATAGCATATTGTCTTAATACCAAATTGTAAAGGTTGTTAGTTTCAGGTAAGTCCTGTCAGTCAAAGGAAATGTTTTATGTAAATGGTTGTTAATACTGTAATTATAGACATGAAACAAACCTGTTACCTAACTGTGTTGACAATAGAGTTACTTAAAATAACCAGTGTATGTGTATTGACATGTGTAATAAGGAGAGTTATTCATCTATCCTTTTGCGTTATTTTAACGGCAAATATTTTTCTTCAAATGTCTGATTATTTCAACGTGAATAACTTCAACTTTCGGCCTATGTGTTACCTGTATATCTCGGTGTTAGGTACATGTATAGTAGTAGTTCTTGTATGTAGTTACATTTTTTTCTCTTTTTTTTTTTTTTAATTTCAGTTCAGGAAGTATAAAAGCTAAACTTTTATTGAAAATCCTCACGGACGCTCTCTCCGCGATAGATGTAAAGACCAGCTTTGTCCAGTCCTATAATTCCATCGACAAGGTCACTCTCAAGGTCACAAAAGCCCTTGATACGACTACACTAACAATAACTGTGACACAAAACACGGCCACCTCATCTACAACGACGGCACCCACCACTACCACAATGCCTTCAATTACCACACCGCCTACTACCACAACTCCACCTATAACTACAACTGTAGTTACGCACGCTCCGCCAATACCTACAACTGTCAAACATACTACCATTCCACCTTCCACAACTACAACACCGACTACAACTCCAACCACTCCAACAACTACAACTCCGACTACAACCACCACCACTCCAACAACTACAACTCCGACTACAACCACCACCACTCAAACAACCACAACAACAACTCCGACTACAACCACCACCACTCCAACAACTACAACTCCGACTACAGCTCCCACCCCTCCAACAACTACAACCCCGACTACAACTCCAACCACTCCAACAACTACAACCCCGACTACAACTACCACCACTCCAACAACTACAACTCCGACTACAGCTACCACCACTCCAACAACTACAACTCCGACTACAACTACAACCACTCCAACAACTACAACTCCGACTACAACCACCACCACTCAAACAACCAAAACTACAACTCCGACTACAACTACCACCACTCCAACAACTACAACTCCGACTACAACTACAACCACTCCAACAACTACAACTTCGACTACAACCACTCCAACAACTACAACTGCTACAACTACCACCACCACCACCACGCCAACAACTACTACTACAAACTCTCCAAGTCCTGTAACAACTGCAGGTAAGTGATACGATCGTCTTGAAAGGGGGGGGGGGGCGTAATTTATGGCATGTTTATGTGCAAATCCATTGTGTGCAGTTTCTACATTACGTGACTTAATGATATCAATGTTTTACTTTCTGCACAAACAATGTACGTATTTAGAAACGAAATAAGTGCCAAACCAAATGCAAAGGCTGGGTCAAACTACCCTACGTGAAGGGGACATCTGAGACGTTTTACCGGGTGGTTAGGAAACACCAATTCAGCACCCCGATGAGACCACTGAAAACACTCAGACAGTTACTGGTGCACCTCAGAGACAAGACTGGCATTTTAGATAAAACATAAATATGTGAAACTGGGAGGAAATTTGGTACACGTGTGAAGGAACATCAAAGGGACGTAGAGAAAATTAACAATATCACATTTACCAGATCCACACACAAAACATCCGCCACCCAGTACAATAAATCGGCATTAACAGATCACGATAACACCCAAAATGAAATCTTCGATTGGGACTTTGTCAATATCGTTGAAAGGGAACAACACACAAAAACGAGACAAATCATTAAAGCAATCAAGATTTAAAAAAAAAACATGAATAGAGACGAGGGGGGTATTACACCAGCTGCGTCATCTGTGTGACATGATACTGAGAGGGAGATAGATCTACACAATACCTCTAACCTGTCTGATGCAGTGTGCATACGCTCCTTATTGATAGGCGAAGGTCGAGTGACATTAAAAATATACAGTTTCGTCACATAGTTGTAAAAGATTCAAATCGCTCACTCAGTCATAGCTTGACAAAAGGACCAGTCGGTCTTGAAACGTTTCGACACGTTTAATAGGTACAATGTTTGTGTAGAAAGTAAATCTTTGATATCACATATTTCCAACCTGATGAATCTTTTTAAATATATTATGTGGTTCAGTTTTGGTATGTGTTATCAGCTGGAATCCATTGAAAGGGTCGACCCGAACCCGTTCTCAGTTAAAACCTATATTTGTTTAAAACTTAATAATTAAATGATTAAGAACATATGAGAAAAACAGTCAGATATTTTTCTTAAAATTATGGGTGTTAACTGCATACAGTAGGATATGGCGTATTTTCAACACATACTGGTTCAATGTTGGAAATGCCATTTTCATGCTTCTAGTATTTTGTATTTATTGGAAATGCCCAACCAGAACCTCTTACATAGAGGCCACGTTTTCCATTCAGTTGATTAAAAAGAAAAGAAAAGAAAAAATAATTTTGAAAAGTGACAACATGCATTTGTTTCAATTTTTCAATTAAAATGTTGAAAACGCTGCGTCCATGCTTTAGTACAATGATGGATTCATGTCAATATTTTACTTATTCAGTAGTACAAAAAGAAAAAAATATGACCAGGTGTTTTTTTCATTAAAGATAAGAGGTTAAAACTGCTAACAAATTTCATGTGTGTTTTATTGTTACAGCTGTAATATGAATTTATCTCTCAAAAGGTGGGGAAACTTCCGAGCTTTAAATCCTGCATGTTAATAAAGAGAAAGTCACCTTCAATTTGTATACTGAACAAAAAAAAGAAACGCACAAAATTCCTTCCCTGCAGTACACCTTAGCTGTAAGGAAATAATGGAATATTTGGTCAGGTATTACATCAAGAACGATCTACCCTAAAATCAGCCAAGTGTGACGATGCCATTGTGTGACTGTGAGCTTCTTGAGTCCAAATCACGCGGCGTGATCAAGCCAAGCCGGAGTTTTTAACAAATAATCTCAACGGATACTCCAAGTTCAGACACATTAATTTTCCACGTTGGCATTTTGATTTCGCCATTGACTGAGATGCCACGCTTAACGCAAATTCAGAGCAATTGCGATGTTGATGGATGGTCATAGCCAAACTGCTGTCGCACGGCAGTTTCGTGTTGGCCCGTGTACAATTAACCGTCTCTGTACACGTTTCCGTGCTACAGGGTTAGTTGCCGATCGTTCCAGGAGCGGTCGTCCGCGTGTAACGACCGCACGACAAGACAGGGCGATTCGATTGTCGCACTTGCGCAACAGATTCAAGACTGCTGTAGAGACTGCGCCGCATACCTTAGGTACTCATGGCAGACCCATTAGTCCTCAAACTGCCAGGAACCGCTTGCGTGCCGAGAGAATCATTGCGCGCCGACCTTATGTCGGGCCACCTCTGACACCACGGAGGCGGCAAGTGCGTCTTGACTGGATGCGCAGACATGGCCCGAATAGGCCTGGGATGCGTCGATGGAGACGTGTGATGTTCACCGACGAGTCGAGATTCTGTCTGTATCGCTCAGACGGAAGAAAAAGGGTATATCGCAGACGCGGTGAGCGTTTCGCCGACGCATGCGTGGTTGAACGCGATAGATTCGGTGGGGCTTCTATAATGGTTTGGGGAGGCATCTCCCATGGAGTAAAATCCCCCTTAGTGGTCCTGCATCAAAACCTCAATGCCGTTCGATACAGAGACCAGATCCTCCAACCACATATCCTTTCACTTCTCAGACGTCATAACCTAATTTTCCAGCAAGACAATGCTCGACCGCATGTTGCCACAGTCTGTCGTGATTTTCTCACGGCAAACAACGTTCAGTCTTGAGCATCTGTGGGATGAGCTGGACTGGCGTATTAGGAAACGTCAAAAAAAAAACCAACTAACCGCGCCCAGTTGATCGCAGCATTAACACAAGAATGGAACAACATTCCCTTAAGGCGAATAAATGTTCTCATGAATTCAATGCATAGGAGAATCCGGGGATTCGTGCAAAAGGTGCCCACACCAGGTACTGAAGTGTCATTTTGTTTTTCGCGGGTATCCCACTTTGAGTAACTACTGATGACACGAGTGACGGCACACAGACTTTTCTTCTACAGTATTGTAAAGAGTAGTCTTGTCCCTTCATATTGATATAAAATTTTGTACAAATTTCCCAAAATATGATAGGCTATTGATTATTGCATAATTTAATTTTGCGTTTCTTTTTTTGTTCAGTATATATTGCAAACCGTTAGCATGTCACTGTTGCGTGTATAAGTAATCAGTATTGATGATCACAACTTTGTTCAGCCAAGAAAAGCACTAAATTGCGCATATTTTTGATAATGAATTATTAATGTTTCAGGGTCGACAACTCCTTCCGTCTGTCGGAATGGCACACTGGCTATTCCATTGTTATTCCAATGCTTCAATTTTCAAGATTTCACGAGCTTGACGACAGATGACGATAAATGCACGTATGTAATTTCATACCCCTCAATTATCATAGCCAATTGCTGGATCAGAGGTGTGGAAAATAAATCTCTCCGCTCGCCTAAAGAATACAGTTACACAATAGACATTTAGCCTACTTCCAATTATAATAATATATAAAAATAGTTTATTTTGTACGCCATTTGTCCATTTGACCAGAATTTGAAAATTCTACATTTTCTTGATTTGTCCATTGTATTTACAGTTGTATTCCTTTTATGTTTTAATAATAATTTTAACATTTCCTGTAAGCCCTCAAGAGTTACCTTATCATCTGTTTACCTTGATAAAGATAAATCAATTGCTTTTATCTCTGAAGAAGATCCCCCATTTATTAAAATATTATTTTCAGCGTTGTTTACTTGCATTAAAAATGTACTAATATGTAAATGTGTCGAAATAAACCCTACGTCACTCATGTTACAAAAGACTGGTATTGCATCTACACAAGGAAGAAGCATGGCTCTGATACTGCGTACACGTACCAACCATTGATATGAGATTAAGACGCATGAGAAGTGGTGTGGAAATAAGTGCATGCTTTTTTAACATTGAGCAAATTAGGGCGAAAATATCCGAATACATATCTATGAATTATATGGCTTATAGATAAATAAAATATGTATACAGATTTCACAACCATTTTCAATGCAAAAAAAATCTCACCACGACTTTTTTAAATAGTCAAAAATGAGGCGTTTCCACGAACAAGAGGTTCCTGTTTTAATGTTTTAAAGTTAAAAGTAATGCTTAAAATGCAAAAACTACCGGATCTCATCTTTAATGCAGTCTACATTTGTGTTGTAGGTACCTGGGCACTGTAGGTAATTGTCTTGAGGGAAAGCTAGAGACAACCTACAACGTCACATGTTCCTATAGTGACCAACTCGTCATCATTGGTTCTTTTGCATCCATAGTTACGTCAGCGCTCAATTTTGACTTAATCACAGTATGTAAGTATTTGTAAACTTAAACAGTGAAAACATGTGTACGCTGTTTATGATACACGGTTGTTTTTTATCTACTTTTTTCTGAACGGTTCTCGTTGATACTACAATTTTATATACTACAGTGTGAAAGTGACATTTACCCAAAATCATTTCATGTAAAAAGTTTTGGATATACGACATATTTTTCCAATCGAAAAATAGTTGAAAATTGTTGGGTTTTTTTGGGGTTTTTTAGATTGTTTATCACTGTCCATCCAGGTCTCCTGAATAACTTTGAGTGAAACTTATATATGTGATTAATTTCGTTATGTTACATAGTTCTATATGGAATTCAATCCCATAAAGTTAAAATGGTTCCACTCCTTTCGTAAAAGTACTTCCTCACCTTATTTTTTACTAGCTTTCCATATAATTTGAGCTATTGTGTGACGGTTTTAAGACTCGAAATTTGAAATTTTAAACTTTTGTTGTGAAATAAATCTCATTTTCATTCTTATATGCATTTCAGGTAACTTTCAGAAGCGCTGATGAAACAGTGATCACGTGATTACATGATGACGTGTTGAGTCACGTGTCAGAGACCATAGACGTTACATGCTTCTGATCTGACCCCCGATTGTAATGAAGCATTCACTTCCGGTACATGTTGATGATGCGTGAAGCCACATCCTGTTTCAGTGCAATGGATTTTCATAAACTACAGTCCCTCGCTATGTGTGACTTTCTGTTGTAATTTGTCATCAATGTTCAACCCTCAATGATGAAATTGGTCGGTGATTATATGAGCCACAAGCTTATGGATGGAAAGCAAAATTACAGTACAATACAACGTACCGACAAGATTCCACCGCCATGCTGGAGAAGTTTCATAGATTTTTTTTGTGACGTTGGATATCTACCATTGGGAATGAACAACTATAAAACTTCATTATGTAGGTAGTTGTAGTGTTGGTGTAAGAAACACTTAATTCAATCGGCTGTTACCGTAAAAAAAAATTGGAAGACGAGGCTCCTTCTAACTGCTCGCAATATACCTTTTCTTACTCTTAGATTTTCTCCTGGAAAAATATCAGGCTCGTAGGTACGTTTTGGACTGGTTCAGGACAGCGAAAAATTACCAATTGCAAGGCTGATAGTCGGTTGTGTATGTGCTTTGAAGATTATCAAAGAACTACTCAAAGATTAGAGCTGGACAATGTTACCATTATGATGATTTACCATTCACCTTTATCTGTAATCAAAGCATTACTCTGAGATGTAGCAGGTATGCAAGATTCAGATACTCTAGGCAAACTCGTAATATCCCCACAAGATGGTGCATACAGGGACCTCTAATTTTTTCATAATAAACGTCTAAGTGTGTATCTCGTGAAATCTATGTTATATTAAGTATCATTCAACATTCTGATGGTCTGTGACACATGTGGAAGTTATACCAGTAGGTCTGCAATATCAAAGCAAGTTATTGCATTTAAGTGACTACCTCAAAAGTAACTGGATCACGTGAAATACAGGTTATATGTCGTGTCTACCTCCAAAAGGATACACTATGAAATCAATAGTTTTCGTGGGTTTTTTTAATTTCGTTGTTATCGTTGGTAATCTTCATCCGCGAATTCAAAGGTCCACGAAGAAAATACAAGTTTGATATTAGCAATTCTCCGTTTGAGCGAGAACTCGTAACCCACGAATTCATGTACTCTCGAAATTGTGTTTTGTCTGGAAACAACAAAACATATTCCCCCACGAAAATATCTGATTTCATAGTAGATTGCGTGAAATATCGGGTATATGTAGTAAGTCATTACAAGTCATGTACGTCAACAATATTTTGATCAAGTGTAATATATGTGAAATGTAGTAAGTGTACTAACTCAAATAATAATTCAGGCATTTATACTGGAGTACATTGTACTATGGAACTGTAACTGGTACACTTAGTTTATGCATGAATGAAATTATTGGATCTAAGATTAACGATGTATTGATATTTTCATAAGTTAATAAAATATTGTTTCGGAAATGAAGTGTATGTAGTATGTTAATTTTTAATAAAGACATTTAATCTGTGAAGTAAACGTGCATACATATAATAAATATGATCAAAATCGGTCTTTACTTTTTCCAACGAAAGAAAATAACAGGGAGAATGGCAATGATGGCCAGGAATACCTTCGCCGTAAAATTGAACATTTTAGATCGCATTCGCTTTTTCTGGGTTTAAGTGGTTCAAGTTATCTTGAGGATATAAATAAAGTATTGATGCTCTCAAATTTCTAGAAATGAGAATGCCTTTCCCCCTGTTATGGTACTGGTACTGCAGTTTTGTGATTACGTGTCTTGGCAGAGACCTGGTGAAAACTAGTTTATGTGAATAGGAACTGAACCAATATAAGACTTACTGTTTAGTAGTTTTCTTTGACGCCAAGTTTCAGTTATTTTGATTATTTGTGTTTGAAAGGAAAAGGTTAAAACGTCACATGGTTGAATTTTCCCTATTTACAAGTGCTTCGTCTATCAAGATGTTCATGCGGAACCATCATACAGGGAAGTACCAGACCAGAAGGAACTATGCCAACCAGAAACAATTATAATATCAAAATATTATGGAAATCCGGCTATGGTATTATAACCACAGGGCCACATAGGTAAATAATACCCAGTATATAAATGTTTTCACATTATCATCTAATCTACTGCCGTTAAAACAAATTAGCTCCCTTATCATTTAATCTACTGCCGTTAAAACAAATTATCTCCCTTATCCCATCGGTTATTAGAATCACTATATATCTATTGTTCTATTTTGTATATACTATTATAACTCCTCTCTCTCTCTCTCTCTCTCTCTCTCTCTCTCTCTCTCTCTCTCTCT